ACTCACTCCAGTCCTGGATTCACTGACAGCTAGGAAGTTAGGTCTTGGTAATTTAATATTGCTCTGCTTGTGTGCTGAGGCTGGAATGTGTGGACTCTGCCTCTATCCTTGTATAAACTTGTTTTAAATGGATCATTTCTAAAAGCTGTGAGAATATTAACCTTGGATGGTACTTGCAGCGTATTTCACCAGTGAGACTGTATCTTACATTCAAAAAACCTTCTTGAAGTAAAAATGTGCTGCCAACTGAGTAGCGTAGAAAAGATGCTTAAGCTTTGAGAGGCATGTTAAATGCCTAGTTGGGAAGCTGGTGGCTGAAGTGACCTGCTAGCTGCTAGATAATGCTTGCAGTTGTGAATACAGTTGCATGTAACACTTCTGTACTTTCAGCAGATACTGATTTTAAGCAATAAACATTTCCTTTACATGGTAGCATGGGATCTTGTCTCACTTAATCTGTAAAATCTGCCTGTGATGTACTGCTGTTGTTCTTAGTTGAACACCTCATGACTTCAAGCTTCAACTCCTAGAGTAGGTAGCCAGTTTCACTTGCAGTGTGTGGGCACCTCTACTTGCATGTTAGGCAAAAACAATGAAATCCTTTCACATTGCCTGTCATGAGAAACTCTTTGAGTTTAACTAGCAGTCCGTACCTCTAGTGTTACTCCTAAGAGTAAATGCCACACTAAAATACTTGCATCAAATGATCAAGCAGTGTGTGTTGAGCAACTGAGCACATGTGGTGGTGTCATGACTGAGATAAGAACAAGCTTCACTTGCACTTCAGACTGACTTTAATGTGATGGTTAGTGTAAAAGCCTGCTGAACAAAGGTAAAGCTACTTGAGTTGAAATGGGGCTTTCCAGTCAATCTGCTGGGAGAGCTGCTGTGGAAGTGATGAGGCTGTCACGTGATGGAGGGGGAAGCTTTAGCTTGCAGAGTTAACTGGTAACATGAAGAACTTTGTGCTGCATTTTAGTTTTGCAAGGGTTGGTCCCATGACCTTTACCTGTAATACTTGCAAGATCCCAGCCTGTGACCTGTTCCAGCTATAGCCATAAGATTCATCAAAACTGTGCTGACAATGGCATAGCCTTGTGTGCAGTTGTTGCCACTAGAGAAGGCTTAACCGATTTGATATCTATTCTGTTAGAGCTCCTGGTCTTTCAATTTGTGGCACACTGTCAGCCTTACTAAACAGCTTCCATTCAACAGTGTGGTTAATTCAGGGAATACAGAGTGCAATGATTGTCACTTGGCTTAATATACTAGTGCTAAAACGATATGAGTGTTTGAAACAATACTTCCCCAAGTAGAGCATTACTCCTGCTAGTTAACAAGTCCAATAAACTTTAGAGCAGAGCTGTGTATTTAAGTTGCCGTACAGAAGCTGAAAATACAAATGATTCTGGCAAATCCAGTTGCCAGAAAGTTGAAGCAGAATGCCTGCTGTCAGGATGAGTGACACCATTTGTTAGCTTGACAGATAGCTGGTGTTTCAGTTTGAGAGTTTCCTTCCAGACAGGAGATCCTGGACAGTCCAGAAACCAGGCCTGGAAGCAGACAGTGTTAAACTGTGGAGCTCTGTGCTGTGAACTAAAGACTTTACATGTTTTTGGTAAGCTGCGGCTGGTCAGGTGACTGTTTTATGGTCAGCAGCTTATCAGTTACCCACACATCTTGCACTTGGGTCACAGCCCTACTTGGAGTAACCACCCAGAACTTCCACTGGTAAAGGATATTATGTCCTCCAGCTGGGACTGTGAGGGTCTCTTGAATCCAAGCACTGAATAATTATTGCTATCCTGAATAAACTGGTTATTCCATTATGCTTCTGTATCACAGTTCACTCCAAGTGGAATAAGATACTCTGTGTGAAAAAGATCTGAGTTCATACTATTAAATCTAGACCTCCGATAGAGTTGCTGGAGACTGAATTTGCCTCAAGTTAAAAGCTGAACTTTAGGCATCTCAGCAATGGCTTCGGAGCACTGCAGAGTCTGAGTCAGTGGTTTGTGTGCTGTGAACTGCCATCTTAGGGAGACTGGCTCACAGTAGCTTGACTAAAGCCCCTTAGTGCTGGTATTTCCAACAAGTACTGTAAAGTCATTTAGGCTGCAACTGGCATACTGCATTATAAGAACTCAGGAGAAGCAGCCAGGTTTTCTCATCAAACTTGCTCCTGGCAAGCATCAGGACACAAGGCTTTCATTGGGTAATGATTTGGTTTGGCATAGGAGCTGCTTCTGACCTTGGTTTGGTTCTTACTGGCACATAGTCTGCTCGAACATGAATCTCAACATATAGGTGATGGGAAGTTGGTCTCCACAATGTGGACAACTAATAAAACTCTTAAAACCCACTTAGAGCTGGGGAGGACTTGCTTTCCAGGACTCCCATCTATGAAGGATATAGGCTATTAAACTATTCTCTTTAGCTTTAGGACACCTGGCTGCCTTGACACTTTAGGCTTGACTGGCAGGCTCTTGCAGTATAACATGAAGACTGATTAATCTGGGGGCCTGAGGTATTCTGGGAGTGGACTGAGACCTACTTTCCTTGTAAGACTGAAATTGTCAGTCAACAGCTGCTATTCATGTAGCAAGGCATAAAAGGATAGGAGGAGGTGAACAAAACTTAGCCCAAAGGAATAGACTAAAGATGCTTTTTAAAATCTCGGTGTGTAAACAGCAGCAGGAAAGCATTACCCCTGAATTGTTTTGTTAAACTATATCTGAGGTGGATTTTATCAATGTTCTGGGAGAGCAAGACCGGTGCTCTTAGCAGAGCAGAGAGAGAACCTAGCTTCCTCATCTTGTTTTAAATGAGAGCGTTAATGTTTTTGTAACTGAAATTGAAACCAGTGTTATGCTGACCCTGCATATTTTCTATCCTCTGCTGGCTGGCCTGGACTACTTCTGCATGCAGTATAGTTCATTTATTTTGGAGACTTGAAAACAAGCCATTATCACCCTTTAGTGCTAGATAAATAAATGATCTAACTGGTGGCTGAACCCAAAGCGCTCTTTTACAAAAGCACAACTGCATGTCACACTTATCATCTTCATTCTGTCCTTGAATGTATGATCAGTCTTCCTGGACCATATCTAGAAACCAGTGGCTTAACCCAACAAGCAATGACTACAGAACAGTCAGATTTCTGTGCCACTTAATTTCCTATCATCACTTATACACAGCAAATGGTCTTTCAGAATACACTTAATCTTGAGTGCTGTTTAACCTACAACTTGCTTATCAATCATATGGGCATACAAATAGGAGGAACAGGAATCAACAAATCAAATAGTCTTGATGCTGGATCTTTGCTTCCAGGTAACAAAAGAGCTTCAGGCTTTGTGGTTTGGGTTTTATTTGTGGGGAGGGAGAAGGCATGCATACAGGGTAAAAATACTCCTCCCCTTTTACGAGGGGAATATCTGAGCAAGTATACTGGCCTGTTCAGTCTGGCTCTGGGTACTCCCAGAGGAGTGATTTGAGACTCTGAACTATTGCTCCTTAGAGTAGTGTGGCTGGCCGGCTAACTCCCAAGAGTTCAAAAAATAACCCAAAACAAATGTACAACTTTAACACTAACACATCTAGTGCACATGTCCTGTTTGCTGTCTAAAAATGTATCTGGGGGAATCAGCTTGTGATGTAGGTTTGTTCTTGTTCTTTTTCTTGGCTCTTGTTCTGCTCCTAACTTTGGTGTAGAGAGGGAAAGGGCTTACGCTTCTCAGTGCAGGAATTATCCTGTTTCCAACATCGTAGCACTTCTGTGGCTCCGGCTGCCATTCACATTGCTTGTCACAGCCTTAAAGTCAAAACACTTGGCTACTTACATGGGCTGAAAAGGGGAGTGATCTGACAGTTATCTGTACCCTTTGTGCTCCTACAATTATTGCTGGCCTTACAGTTGGAGCTTTTTTTCCTGCTGCTTTGCTTTCAGATCACCTTTCCAATTCGTCATCTTCCAGGTATGGTCTGTTCAAAACTCTCAATATGCAGCTGCACAGTAGCAGATCTCTCAGTCTAGTGGAGAAATGGCATTGAACCAGATAACATGTGTCCTCTTCCAGATGGTCACTCTGGGATAGTTTGTGTGACAATTCAGGATGCCATTTGAAAATAAGCCTTTTGACCCTGTAGTACTAGTGGGATCTCTAATCTTCTTTGTATGCATATGAGCTGGACTGGAGTGCTAGATAAAAGTATATCTATCATGGCCTTTCAACAGTGTAGTAGTCCTGAGCTAAGCTGTATATAAAAGGGGTTTGAGTTCCCATCCAGTGAATCTTATGCTAGCATCTCCCATAGATGCCTATTCATCTAGTGGGTGTGATATTAAATTGTTAGCAATTCTTTTCCTTGTTAGGAACGATAGGATATACTTGTAGGCAAGTAATAGTCTTTGGTGTGATGACTTAAGATAGTCTTACTGCTTTGTTTCAGGGTATTCTTAGCCTGTTCATGGCTAGATCAAATTAATACCACTGTCTACGTAAAGCCTAATGTGTCTCAGGGATGTTCAGTATAAACTTGACTCTGTACTCCTTGAACAGATTTCTTTGCATCTTCCCACCTCTGCACAAGTCACTTCATGGTAAGCTACACTTACACAAAAACCCCAGTGCTCAGTAACTGCAAAGTACTAAACATACATGTTTATCAGACTACAAACTTCCAGCTCACTCCAGCAGCCCAACAGGGCACGGCATTTCCCTAAGCTGCACTTAGTAGCTTTCTCTTCCTCATTAACTACACTCCTAAATTAACACTCTTTCCAACAGATCAGTTCCAGTTCTTGTTAAGGCTGGTTACTGAATAACTGGTTGTAATTAATGCCTAAATTTATCACTGGTACAATAATAGCTACACTGTTCCCTTAACTTCAGCCCCTTTCAGAAGCTTTTGGTCAACAGACTTGCTGTCTGTGTGGTGCTCTAAGGAGTCTGTGTAGGTAGTTCTAAATATCTCACTTGCAGGATCCTTCAGTGAACTTGACAACAAGTTGCCTTGATTGTGGATCACAACTTCATTCTGCCTACTTGGAATATAGCAATTGATGTGTCCCTGATGGCCTTCACCAATTGTTGAAGTTTTAGGGGCTTTCCCACTGACAAAGCCACAGGCTGGTAAGTAGCCCATGGTCAAGCATCCCTACTAGAGAAAGCTTTAAGTCTGTACATAGCAATTACTGTATTAAGACTGAATGTATACACCATAGCTTACAAAAGACAAATTCTTTTAATTAGGGAATAAGATTTCAGCATTACATGCAGAAATTGGTGCAGTCCAAATGGTTTGGAGATCTTTCCTCTAGGAAATGGGTTAAGAAACCTGCTGCAGTTCTGAGCTTCAAACATTCTCAGTAAAATTGCTTTGTACTTTAAAAAAATAGTCTGAACTAGAAAGGTGTTCTAGAGGAGGTGTTGGTAATAGTTCCGGAAGCTTTAATACTAAGGGTATATTGTCTAATAAGAGCAGAGTCTAATGCTAATGTCTTTAAACACTTCAGCTCTGTATTTATAACATCTCCACCATGTGATATACTGTCCGTCTTGCATCTAAATTAGTGTGGTTGGGGTGGAAGCACTGTGCAAATGAAAGCAATGCTTTATCTCCACTAACAGCATTCAGTACATTAATATTGCATCTACCTGTAACTTGGAAAATGAGTAGAAGCCTGCCAGTGACAAATATTAAATAAAAATGGGTGCCTTATTTTTGCTTCAATGACTGTCCAGCATAATTTCTAATTCTTACCTGGTGTGGTTATACTAGTGCCATTATAATGCTTCATTTTCTTGTTCACTGTTGATGTAGGATTAAATAACTTTTTAATTGTCTGAGTAATAGTGATATCTTTTCAAATAAAAATAAGAATACTGGCTAATTCTTGGCTTTCCCTGAAGAAATTTTTAAAATACTGGACAAGACTGAGAGCAAACCAGGAAGCCAAGGCTGGAAACTTCTAGGCTCCATTGTATCTGATTAAAGCAAGGAAGAACCCAGAACTTTTCCTACATTGATTTGTTAGCCTCACTGGACAAACTGTAGCTCTATAAGTTGTTTGATGTGAGCAGCTAAGACTAAAGTTACACAAGCGTGTCTTTTTGCATATGAAAGGGTTTAGGCTTCTAATAATGCTATTGCCCTTCCAACCTTGCAGGAAAGAATGAAAATATAGAATGCTTACATGACCAATGAATACATCTCACATTGTTTATATCTGAGCTGGTAGTTGCATGTTAGATCTGCATTCCCCAGACTTCTAAGCAGACGGTTAGGCACAGACTTAAACTGCAGATTGTGCAGGGAAAGCCTGAAAGTCTGGGTCGCTTTTCTCATCAGTTAGGTGTGCAGTTTCACTCATGGCATATGTGGGGAGGATGTATCCAGAGTGACAGACAAGTCCCACTGTTCGTGATCTAGTGGGATTCAGAGTATGGCTTTAGTGTATAACTGCCAACACTTCTGAAATCAGCTTAATCATAGCAAATGGTAGTCACACCTGCTCCTCATGGTAGAAAATGTTTAACAGAAAACATGTGAGAAGGCACATACATGTGTTCAGTTTATTTTTGTATAGTGAAGAAATCTGGGATCAGGTCACTCAAGCTCCTACCGGCGTGGCTGGGTATGTTACCCCATGTCTGTCCTAAAGTAAACTGGAGTCTGTTTGGATTGCACTAGTTTCTTCAGTAGGAATTAACATTTCATACTGAACCTGGGAAACTTGTCTATGCTAATTTCAGTTTCATGTTCTGAAGGCTGATAACACTTTATTTCATAGAATTATAGAATTGTTTAGGTTGGAAAAGACCTTTAAGATCGAGTCCAACTGTCAACCCAACACCACCATGCCCACTAAACCATGTCCTGAAGTGCCACATCTACACATTTTTTAACACCTCCAGAGATGGTGACTCCACCACTTCCCTGGGCAGCCTGTTCCAATGCCTGACAACCCTTTCAGTAAAGAAACTTTTTCTAATATCCAGTCTAAACCTCCCCTAGTGCAACTTGAGGCCATTTCCTCTTGTCCTGTTTGCTGAATTTTGCACTCCACATGAGTGAAGGCTTAAGCCTGGTTGAAGCTTATTTTTACAGGACAAGTATTCTTTCATCGGGGAAATACAGGATAGAGTTGCACATTCTATGTTCATCTTGTTTCTCCAGACTTCATGTATGATGAGTGGGGAGCAAGGGCATAGTAAGTTCTTGAAGGTGTGCTGAGAAAGTTTTCCTAGCCAAAACTTTTTGGCAATCTGTAGTCAGTGCAAACTGCAGTGTGTATAAGTAGGAAGAACTTTACAGATACCACATTAATTATTTTACTGCAGGGTTTATTTTTTTGCTAGTAAATAATTTGTTGTCCCCAACTGTCTACCCCAATTAAGTTATCTTAAATTTACTGACACTTGATTGAAAACTAGAATGCAAGTTAAGGATAGCAATGTGTTACATCACGGCTGTTTTAATGTGGAATTGCAACCTAGAAATTTAAGTATCTTTTTGCTTAAAAATAGAAGTTTAAAACAAAATGGGAGTGACCTTTTGAACTATGTCTGGTTTACTCCATGGTGATCTATGCTTCTCCAGAGAAGTTCATGGGTCAAAAGTCTGCTTTTTTCTTTTAGAAATTTGTATAGAGGAAATATGTTGACATTAGACATTTGCTACTGGAAGAAAAGAAACTTAAAGCTCTTAAAGCATAATAAATGCATCTTGCTGAAATGAGATAACAGGGTTGTGGTGCCCCTGTTTTGTCTATTAAATTTTGGCTGCTACATAAAGTAATATTAAGAAACTTCAAGTCTATTTAGGTTCTTAAAACCTAAAACGTTTAAGTATATATTATGCTTAACTGCACATTGCTTTAATCAAATTTTATTCCTCCCAAAAATCTGGCAAGTGATTGTTCAAACAGTAAACACATTAGTTTATTGCATAAGCTGGTACTGTAATTGGAAAAGTAAAATGACTAAGCAGTGTTCTTAGTAAAGCTGCCAAAATAAAATACAGCCTAGAAGGGCAATCTATGCTTTTCATGAAAATAAGCTTTAATAATCATGAAATTTTTCACCCTAAGGGCTTCTTCACTCTGACAAGTGACTAAAATGTAAAATGTCAAATACCTTCATGTGCTGACCAGTAACTTGCACCAACTTCAAGATCGTTGTTAGTCAAATACTAAATGTACTTTCTTTTTAACAAGCTACAAGAACCAAATAGTTTCCTTCCTCAGCTTCTTGTGTTATCACTGAAGATGCACAACAACACATGCAGCACATGTAAATGTCTGTGCCTTTGTGGAACCTGGTAGCTAGGCAATTGTGTGTGCGTGCTCGCAGCTGAAGATGCAAGAATTGCAAGGAGCAACCTCAGCTTGTAACCATGAGAAAGTTATCAATGAGTTTTGCAAGGAGGGAGTGAACCTACTTTTTGTCTTTCTCATGATGTATAGTGACACTTCTGTTACTGATAGCATGTAGAGAATATGCTATAATCCTGGTTACAACTTGGGTCTTCTGGCTCTTGTCCTTTCTATTATTTCCTCCCCCAGCTTTTTCTAGTTGGCTCAGTCTGTTTACATACAGCATGCTTTGCTCACTGAAGTGTTCTGATTGAATGTTGTGTTTGAGGAATCATTACTTGTGTAACACTAGGACAAAAGTAAGAATATCTGCTTTCAACAGGAAACTGACTTTGGTTCTGCTTCTCTGCTATAATCCACAGGTCTTCCTGAAAAATATGTAAACCCTTCTCTAGTAACCTGCTAGCAGAAGCAGTGTTTGAATAAATACTTGCTGGGGGGGGGGTTGTTTTTATTTCAGACTGTCCTTTGCAGTCCTTGCATATCTCTGTTCAGTAAGCCTGCTCTGAGTCCATGAGCTGGTCATACTTCTGGACCAACACTAGAAAGCTCCTGAAACCCTACTTAGAAATACTATTTTTGGAGTCAGCTACTCTCCATAGCAAAAGTTTCAGAAGCTGTTGTAATGTTCTCTAAGTCTATCTGAGTGTCCTACCCACTTCTGTGGTATCTTCATCTAAGGTTGCCAGAGCCTTAATATAGGGATGCATGGCACTTACTCCTGCTTATTAATTAGACCTCTGAAATCCTACATAACTGCTGATTTATTAAAACCTTCATGTGTTTCAGAGTAGGATTTTTTTTCTGGAAGACTTCTTGAGTGACCAAATTCAGGTAATTCTAGTTGTCTTGAATTGATTCTAAAAGTATCTAACTGAAACCAGAGAAGGCCTATAACAAGCCATCCAACGTGCCTAAATGCTTTCAACAAGCTTTTTAGAAATTCTAGGCAAAATTAATGTCACCACAGTCTGACCTGGATAACTCCGACAGTTGCTCTAAGCCTCATTCACTTAATATTTTTGGTTTGCCTGCTCTTAACAGCCATATACTTTAAGCAGGTGTAACACTTCAAATACTTATGATTAATATGTACTTCACTATATCAAGGTAACAACTTTGTCTGCTCTTCAGGGACTTGGTTAAGGACACGGTAAAGTTGTTCCTTAACCTGAATGACAAGTCTGTTAATTCCAACAAACTGTTGCCTGTAAACACCTTGCAAACAGTGAGGGAACCAGCCCAAGCAGTGAAATAATTAAGGGGCAAATGTGCTATCCCTTATCAACTCCATGTGTGATAAATGGATTTAGCTAGTTCTGATTTTAGAGAAAGGAATCCTGTAAGTGTTAACTATATTCATGGGAACTGGGTTGGAAGCCAAGCCACTATCTTGTAACAGAATAAACTGATAAGAGAAAGCATTCAGTTAAAAGAGCAGTTCTTTAAAGAAATAATCTGAAGACCTAAAGGTCTTTTGGAAAGATGATATTAGGTAATATTATGCAGTATTCATTCAAGTACTTGACTTTGCTTTTGCAACTTCAACTCAGCCCTTTGTAGGAATTATGACTGTCTTCCTGTTTCCCCCCCAGATGTAAGCCTGTGATTTCCTCTGCACCACAGAAATAAAGCATCCCTTTCTGAAATTTATCTAGTCAAAAACACCTAGCAGCATCAACCAGGTGTATGTGTGTTCACATCATACTTTATCTGACCTCTGTATGCAATTAGTTGATTTGGATTGCTGATGTG